ACCTGCTCCCCCGGCCGTCCGGTGCGCCCGCCGCGCAGTCCTCGGGCCACCGCCGTCCGCTCGGCGCCCGCAGCCCCGCTCCGGCCCCTCCGCCGCCCCGCGCGAGCTGCCCCGCCCGGCCACTGCCCGGTGCCCCGGTGGCTTCCCGGTCCGAGAGCCCGGCTGCGCACTGGCACCACGCTCGCCCGCTCGCTCCGCTGGGCTCTGCCTGCGCGCTGGGCGGCAGCTCGAGGGATGTGCCCTTACATGTTCCTCCACTCGCCTCCTGCGCCGCCCGCCGCGCATTCCTGCCCCGGCGGGCCCTCCCTCCCCCTCCGCGCCGCGCACCCGGCGGGGCAGGGCTCCGGGGGGCGGGGCCGCGGCGGGGGCTCGGGCACTCACTGGAGGCGCTGGGCGCCGGGCGGGGACGGCTGGTACCGACAGGGGGGCTGCTTACTCAGCAGCCGTAACCTCGTGGCCTGCCGTGTGCCGCTTCTTGGAACCACAACTCCTCCAGGCCTCGGACGCGGGGGATCGTGGAGGGGCGGGGGTAGGGAGCGGCTCCTACTTGAGAGGGTCGCTGCTGGTGAGAGGGGGTAGCTCTGTGGTCGCGCAGTGCACCCGTTGGGACTTGCATAGTGGGCGTCAGACATCTGCTGGACGTTTCCCAGGCCGCGGGAGCCCTGGCCCCCCAGCCTGAGCCCCTTCTCCTAGTTTGGCCAGCTCTCCTTTGGCACGAAGACGATCTTGGGGTGGGGGCTAGGGATCAAGCCTCTGTTGGGTTCCCTCCCCTTCTGCTGCCCAGCTGTCTCTGCGTGGGCGACCCACCCCTCCTACTCTTACCCACATCTCCAGCTCGGGGAGAAGGGTAGAGAAAAGACAGGGCGAACTGAGCAGAGAGAAAACCTGAGGTCGCTCAGCCTCTCTGTGGTAGCGGAGAGGGGACCCCATCGTGATCTGGAGAGGTCACTTCCTGCAGTGTTCTTCGTGGCACACACTTGGAGACACCCGTCGCTCAGCCCAGGTGGACCGACCATGCCTGGAATTAGCTGCTAGCCTGTTTATTGCAGACCCTCTGCGGATTCCAGCAGCCTCTCTCCGCCATCCTAAGAGAACGAGCTTCCCCAGGATTCCTCGCTGAAGGGGGATGGGGAGGGAGAAGGCTTCCCTCCCTTTTCGGCCTTAAGGGCTTTGCGCTGAGTTGAAAGCCCTGCAGTGTTGGGTTCAGACCTCAACCCTTCCTCCTTGACTGCTATGTCCCCGCCCACCTTGGGCAGCTCCATTAGCCTCCTAAAATTTCCTCATTTGTCAAATGGAAAGATTTATTCATTCTTAGTTCATGAAGCTCTGATGAATAAGTTAGATAACATTTGTGAAAGCCCCAAATCCGGGCCTGGCAACTCTGAGTCCCAGTAAAATGTTATTCCCCCCCCTCCCCCCACTTCTATTGCCTTCAGAGGAAGATGAGGACCGGAGAGTAGGCCAGGCACAGGAAGATGGGCCTCTAGGTCCTAATTCTGCCTGGTCTTGGTCAGCTCCTCCAGGCCCACAGTTTCATAAGGGCCTATTCATTGACATGTTAATAATAGAGTATTATGGGAATAATAATATGTAGTAATGACAGTAATAAGACCTCTTTGTACCCACACCCTGTTTCCATCCTCCTGCCCATTGATGTGGAGCTTGATGGGCACAAAGAGGGTCCAGTGGAGAGGGGAGGGGTGCCCCAAGTCAGGAGGTGGAAGAAGGCAGCTGTCAGTGTCCCACCACAGCTCTACAGCCCCATGTGCTGCAGGAGCACCCACACCCCAGGACAGCTAACTCCCTAACCTGCAGAGTACCCCCACCCCGTCCCCGCCCCGGGGAGAGGAAGTGGCTAGCATCACGAGGAAAGAGAAGCAGCCAAGATAAGTGTCCCTTGAGACACAGAGGGCAGCAACAGAGAAAGCTCGAAAGTACCCACAGTCCTGTCTTAGGGACCCCCAAAGTCTCAGTCTGTCTGCCAGCCATGCCCTCACATGGCTTCTCTCGCCAGCCCACACCCCCCCCCCCCCACACACACACCTGCTCCATAAGAATCTCCCGAGTCCACCAATCTGGCATAGTCCCACCATGATCCAAAGCTCTATCTTGGAGGAAACAAGGCTCTAGACCAGGCTGCTAACCTGCTCCTCGCTCCGTTTTGTCTCTATCGCTTCCTCCTCTCCCTACCCTGAGCCTGGAACTCACTGATTCACTCTCCAGTTTCAGGTTAATTCACAAAGGTACGTGCTTTTAAAGTTTATAGGGGCTCCTCGTGTTTTTTATTCTCTTGATAAATTGGTATTGTTATTATTATTGTGCTCATTTTCCTGATGAGAAAAGTGAGCTCAGAGAGGTCAGGCAACCTACAGTAGGTCACCCAGCTCTGTAGATGACAAAGCTGGGAAGATAACACATGGTAACTAAGAGGACCCAGGATCTTGTGATGACACCACCCTGCCTCTGTATAATCATCTGAGTACCCGGGGTCCTTTTTTAAATGACCCAGCCACCCACACTTTCCTCTTTGGTGTGCTGGGTGGAGTGGTACCAAGTGTTTGGACACAGGAGAAAAGGCAAAAAAGACAGGAACATTGGATAGCAAGAGTGAGTGGGTAAAGAGGAAGCCAGAGGCGGAAATTCAGTATGGCATACTCTATTGCTGGAAAGGTCTTTACCAAGTAAACAACCAGTTCCCGACGCCACCTCTCCTCCGTGTCCTGTGTAGGTCTTACTGGGAGTCCTATCCTCCGATCTCATGACCTCTTGGGAAGAGAGGAGGTGACTCACTCTAAATCCTTCCCCAGAATTGGCATTCTGCCTGGTAGCCCCATTTGAGAGATGCTTGGGCCCAAGTAACCCAACTTGGTGCATCAGGAGGATCAATAAGCATTCTAGAGCCAGGGGAGCAGGGCTGGGCTGGGGAGGCTCATGTTGGTGCTCCCCTCCTGCCAGAGTATCCCTATGCTGCCCCTGGGAATTGGACCTCTAACTTAGCCTTCCTGGGGCACTCAGTTGGGGGCAGTGCTGGGCCCCGGAGATGCTCACTCAATTCTTATGGGCTTGTTTACCCTACACGGGACTGCTGGACAGCATGTCCCTGGTTGCAGCCCAAAGCTGGCTCCGCCCTCTGCCCAGCCCAAAGGAAAGCTGATCTGCACTGTCAGGCAGTCTGAGTCCAGCTGGAACGGGCTAGACTACAAAATGGCCCCAGGGAATAGTGTGCTAGAAATGCTCCAGCTAGGTCTGAGCCATCCCTGGTGGGGAGGAGGGAGCCCTGGATCCACTTGGTGGCGACCCAGGACAGGATGGAATGGCAGATGGGAATAAGGTGGGACAGAGGCCAGAATGGGACCCAGAGGGACATAAAAAAGTAACATAGCTTCTTGTTTTCTACAATATTTACTTAATCTTATAAATTCTGTTTAGTGGTCATCAATTGTTTCACTCAATCTATAGAAAAAGCATCAAAGATCATTCTACTTACAAAACAGAATTTCTATTAACACTATAAAAATTGGGGCGCCTGGGTGGCTCCGTCAGTTAAGTGTCCGACTCTCGGTTTCAGCTCAGGTCATGATCTCACGGTTTGGAATTTCGAGCCCAGCATCCGGTTCTGCGCTGACAGTGCGGAGCCTGCTTGGCATTCGCTCTCCTCTCTCTCTCTCCCCTGCCCCTCCCCTGCTCTCTCTCTCCCTCTCTCTCTCTCTCTCTCTCTCTGTCTCTCAAAATAAATAAACTTTTAAAAAAGGGACTTAAAAAACAAAGTTAAAAAAAAACACCGTAAAACTTGTAAAACGGAAGTAAGATCATGTCACTCCTTTTCCTGCAATCTACCAGAGCCTTTCATCTCTGAGTGAAGCCCCTCTCCTGCTGGTTTTCTCTCTATAGCACATACCACCATCTAACATTCTTAATGTTTTTCTTATTTGTTATCTATCCCCTCTACTAGAATGTAAGTTCTGTGCTAGCAGGGAATTTTATCCTGTTTTCTTCATTCCTTGTGGCTCTAGCACCTAGAATGTTGCCCAGTACACAGTAGGACCTCAGTAAATAATTGTTGAATGAGTGAACGAAATGGTAATGGAACTGACAAAAATTGGGAGCTGGAGAAAGGAGACTGTAGTAGTTTCCTTTTCTTTCATTACAAGGAGTCAATAACTGCTATCTAGTGTTAATGAACTAACAGAGAGAGGTCTAAGTACATTATTTAAAAGAATTATGGTAAGGGGTGCCTGGATGGCTCAGTCGGTTGAGCGTCCAACTCTTGATTTCTGCTCAAGACATGGTCTCCACGGGTTCATGAGATCAAGCCCTTTGTCGGGCTCTGTGCTCACAGGGAGGAGCCAGCCTGGAATTCTCTCTCTCCTCTCTCTCTGCCCCTCTCCTCTCTCTCAAAATAAATAAATAAACATTCAAAAAAGAATTATGATAACCACTAGATGGTCATAGGGAATGTTTAGGGAGAGACTGTTCTATATGACATTGTAATGGTGGATACACGACATTATGCGTTTGTCTAAGCCCATAAAACTGTGTAACACCAAGAGTAAACTTAATGTAAACTATGAACTTTAGTTGTAGTAAATATATTAACATTAGTTCCTTTGCTATAATAAATGTACCACACTGATGCAAGATGTCAATAACAGGGGAAACTATGGGGGCAAGGAGAGATACGTAGGAATTCAGTATATCTGATCAACTTTTCTGTAAATGTAAACCTGGTCTAAAAATCAAGTCTGTTATTTAAACAAACAAAAATAGGGGCGCCTGGGTGGCTCAGTCGGCTGAGCGTCCGACTTCGGCTCAGGTCATGATCTCACGGTCCGGGAGTTCAAGCCCCGCGTCGGGCTCTGTGCTGACAGCTCAGAGCCTGGAGCCTGTTTCAGATTCTGTGTCTCCCTCTCTCTCTGCCCCTCCCCTGTTCATGCTCTGTCTCTCTCTGTCTCAAAAATAAATAAACATTAAAAAAAAATTAAAAACAAACAAACAAAAATAAATGGTTAACCGTAGTTCCTCTGGGAAAAGACAAGGAGAGAAGATAGACTTTTACTTTTTCATTGGTCATCATTCTGTACAGCTTGATTTTATTTATTTATTATTTTCTTACTATATACATGTTTTGCTTCTCTCTCTCTCTTTCTTTTAATGTTTATTTATTTTTGACAGAGAGACAGAGTGTGAGCGGGGGAGGGGCAGAGAGAGAAGGAGACACAGAATCTGAAGCAGGCCCCAGGCTCCGAGCTGGGGCTCGAACTCACAGACCGCGAGATCATGACCTGAGCCAAAGTCAGACGTTCAACCGACTGAGCCACCCAGGTGCCCCAATCTCTCTCTTTTTTTTAAAAGCAGGCTTCATGCCCAGCAGGGCTTGAACTCATGACCCTCCAACCAAGACCTGAACTGAGATCAGGAGTCAGATGCTTAACCGACTGAGCCACCCAGGCACCCCAATGTTTTGCTTCTCTTAAAAATCCAGTTAAATGCACAATACACAGATGTTCATACACAGTGGAGCAGTTAACAATAATGAAACAGATCTATAGCTCTTAACAGAGAGAGATATCTAAAATATGTTGTTTTGCAGGGAAAACATTTCAGTACAGTGAGCGTCAGAAGGTGTAGAATACGATCCCAAATGAACAAAAAGTTTGTGTCTCTCTGTGGTACAGGTTTTATCTGGAAGGATTCACACCAATATGTTGCCTATGGAATCTCCAGGATGTGGATCAACAGCATGAATACGCTTGTTACTTTATAAGCATGTTCCTACAGGCATTCTCTGTTTTATTGCACTTCACAGATATTGTGCTTTTTACCAGTTGAAGGTTGGTAGCAACCTGCATCGAGCAAATCTATTTGCACCATTTTCCTGACAGCATTTCCTCACTTTGTGTCTCTGTGTCACCTTTTGGTAATTCTCGCGATAGTTCAAACTTTTCCGTCATTATTGTATTTGTTATGCCGATCTGTGATCAGTGATTACAGCTCAATGAAAGCTCAGATGATAGTATGTTTTAGCATTAAAATGTTTTTGAATTGAGGTGTCTGTACAGCATCTTTTTGGACATAATGCTGTTGCACGCTTAATGGACTACATATAGTACAGTGTAAACACAACATTTAAAAAATTGTTTTAATGTTTATTTACTTTTGAGAGAGAGAGACAGACAGACAGACAGACAGACATAAGGGGGAGGGGGGGAGAGAGAGAGGGAGACACAGAATCCGAAGCAGCCTCCAGGCCCTGAGCTGTCAGTACAGAGCCCGACGCGGGGCTCGAACCCACGAACCGTGAGGTCATGACCTGAGCCGAAGTCGGACGCCCAGCCATCTGAGCCACCCAGGCGCCCCTAAACACAACTTTTATGTGCACCGGGACATCAAAAAATTCATTTGATTCGCTTTATTGCAACATATGCTTTATTGCAGTGGTCTGGAGCCCAGCCCACAATATCTCCAAAGCTGTGCTTGTATATGGTTTGGATGTCACACGCACACGTGTATTGCACATATTTTAAAAATAAAACAAAACCACAGGGCTGGCTTGAAAGCAAGGGCCAGTTTGGAGATGTAAATGGTAGTCACTGGCCACAAGATTTCTCCAGGGTCAGCGGGGCCTTCTGGAGTGGGCCATGTACACCACAGCAGAGCAGCCGGGGGGCTGAGCCGTGGGGCTCAGCCTCTCCTATATCTGCACTTCCCTTGCCCTTTCCCTACCCTGGAAAACACAGAAACAGGCAGGTGTCCCCACAGGCCCCTAGGCACCTGCCTCATTGTCCCCTAGTCACTGGAAATGGAAGGCTCATCTAGGCTGCCTGGGTGTGACCCCTAGTAAGGAAGAGGTGGTGCAGTGTAGACAAGTACTTCTCAGACTCTAATGTGCAAACAGATCACCTGGGGCTGTTACAAATGCGGATTCTGATTCAGTAGGTCCAGGATGGGATCTGCGATTTTGCATTTCTAGAAGCTTCTATGTAACATTGATGCTGCTAGTTCCTTTGAACATCCAGGGTCTAGAGCAGTGGTTCTCAAAGTGCGGTAGCAGCATCAGCATCACCTGTGAACTTGCTAGAAATATAGATTCTAGGCTCGACTCCAGACCTACCAGAAATTCTAGGTTTGGGGCCCAGCAATCTGTGTTTTAATGAGCCTTCCGCATGATTCCGATGCATATGAAAGTGTGGGGATGTCACGTGCAGAGGAAGGAGCACTCAGTCAGGAGTCAGGGCACCTGTGTGATAGCCCCAGCTCTGTGACACCTTGGACAAGTCCATCTCAGTTTCCTTGCGCATCTTGTCTAGCTTGTGTCAGATTTGCAAGAAAGCCTGGTTAGTGTACATGCCACTAACTATGGAACATCTATACTGGTTGTCTTCCCTTTAGGTAAGACAAAAAGAGCATTGCTACTTCCTCTCAACCTCCACATTCTCAGATGCAGCTGGTCAGGCAGCTCCTGATCACTTAGATGACACAGGAAATTGGGTTTGCCCACAGCCTTGCTCCTCCCTCCCCTCCTCCCTCTGGTTTCTGCACACACCCTCCAGTCCGCAGGTCCCTCCCCGCCCTCCTCTCCCTGGGAGACCCACCTCCCCCAACTGACCTCTCCCCCAGACTTATCCTGACCTGCCTGCACCCCTTTCATGTAGAGTCCTTTGTTCTAGAGCGTTGGGGTTTCCTCGGATCTCCGTTTCTCTAAAGGGAAACAGAAGAAAAAACTGATCAAGGCTTCGAGTCTAACGATTTGGGTTTTATGGGCACCATTGCAACAGACATCAAGTGGGTAGCAACCCTGCAGCCGACCCGCCCAGGCTTGCTCCTGGGCCTGGCTCTCTCGGTGGAAATCCCCTCCCACGCTCAGCCCTTTAACCACTTTCCAGCCCAATAACTTTCCTGATTCACCAGGGATCCCTTTCGTCTTGAGAGCGGCCAGTAACCCCCTCTCGGATGGGGCCGAGTCTGGACTTGAAGGCATTTGATCCCATCTTGGGTCTGGCAGAGATTGGACTTGTGGGCCTGGGCTTCAGGTTGGGGCCTGCAGAATCTTCCCTTTTCCCACGTCGTTCCGGCATCTGGGTGCCCGTGTTGTCGGAGGGAAGGGGCTGCCCTGGAGTGACACTTGTCCTTGGGAACAATGGGCTGAAGAGCAAGGACAGCAGAAGACTGGCTGATGCCCAGGGATATAGTGGTCGGGACCTGCCAGCAAGAGCTGGGCAAAACTGTACACATCAATTGCTTTCTCTTTCATGGCTTTCGCTTCCTGTTCTTTTAACAAGAATAATGTGCTTCAAGTGCAATTAATATTTGAATGCATTTTTGTAGCAAAAAAAAATTCAAAATATGCACGGTATCTTTTCATCGCCCTTCCTGTGCCCCCAACCCCATAGACAACGGTCACTGAGCTTGGCAGAGGTTGTGCTAGACATTTGTCTTGACTTCACGCACATTTGCACCCAGGTTATTTTAAAACGGTGTCGTCATCAGTAATGGCAGAGGTTGGTTGGACAATTCCTAAGTCCCCTGCCAGCCCTGACATTTTCTGCATTTGTGGGTGGCTCTTCTCTCTCCTCCTAAAGAGCAACCATTCATGGGATCTCACTAACATTATGCCACGGATGTGGGGGGTTGGGGGAACTCATAGAAGAGAAAAGGATGGAGGGAAAGGTAACATCACAGGGTCAACAATAGTTCCTTCTGTGAGAGGGGATTATAGACACTGGCTTTTTTTTTTTTTTTTTTCCTGCTTGCCCTTGATTTTCAAATGTTTCATAGTGAGTGATTATGAATTTTCATGAGTATTACTTGGATCATTGAGAAGTTCCTATGTAGTGCCATTATCAAGATCAGGCAGAGAAGGCAGTGAGGTGTCCAGCCTGGGACTGGGGTCAAGAAGTTAACCCATGGCTCAGGGTAGAAGGGTGTAGAGGGGCTGAGGGAAGGGAGGGAAGTTCCTGGTACGTTCTTGAACATAATCTACTGGGAGATTCATGGAAAGGAACATCACAGTAAGTCCTATCAGATGTGAATTCAGTGTTTTACAAGCCACACTCAGGGCTAGGCACTAGGGACACAATGGTGAATCAGTGGATCACACTTCTCTTATTAATGGGGACTGGTAAAACAGGGGGAGGTGGAGCTCACATCCTTAGGGAAGCCCCTCCCACCTTCAGGAAGAGGATTTCCCTCCTACGGAAGAGGTAAGCATTAGTTCTTCGACAGGCCACAACCTTGACTTTGTAGACATACGGACCCCCAGTACTGGATACAGTCTACCGAAGGTGTTATCCCCATGTCATAGCTGATAGGAGTATGCATATCAGTCAGGATGGGCTAGGCTATGGGTCACTAACAAATTCCCCCCAAATCCCCAGTACAGATTCCAAACACAGATTCTCAGGCCCCACCCAGTCCGGCTGAATCAGAATCTCTAGGATGGGGCTGGGAATCTATTTTAAAAGCTTCCCCCTAGGGATTCCTGGGTGGCTCAGTCAGTTCAGCTTCCAACTTCAGCTCAGGTCACGATCTCACGGTTCCTGAGTTCGAGTCCCACATCGGGCTCTGTGCTGACAGCTTGGAGCCTGGAGCCTGCTTTAGATTCTGGGTCTCCCTTTCTCCCTGCTCCTCCCCCACTCATGCTCTGTCTCTCTCTCTAAGATAAACATTAAAAAAACTTTTTTTAATTAAAAAAATAGGGGTGCCTGGGTGGCTTAGTCGGTTGAGTGTCCAACTTCAGCTCAGATCATGATCTTGTTGTTCATGGGTTCGAGCCCCACGTCAGACTCTGTGCTGACAGCTCAGAGCCTGGAGACTGCTTCGGATTCTGTGTCTCCCTTTCTCTCTGCCCCTCCCCAACTCGTGCTCACGCTCTCTCTCTCTGTCTCAAAAATAAATAAGCATTAATAATAATAAGAAGAAGACAAAATTAAATCAATAAAAGCCTCCCCCAATTCAGGGGAGGCTCTGCTCACTGTGGCACTCACAGATCCAGATCGACAGAGGCTCTATCTTGATACATTTGATCATTTGTAAATGGGCGTAATGATAGCACCTATGTCTCAGGGTTACTGTAAGGATTAAGTGAATTAATACATGTAAGGTCTTCAAATAAGCTACGGCACATAATAAATACAAGAGATGGAAAAAATGATAACTTTCTGTGACAGGGCAAAGGGAAAGAATGGCATCCACAGTGAGTCCTAAAGAGTTCTGCCCACGGGTGACACAAATTACTTCTCACCTTAAGTTAGGGGCCAGAGCAAGCCACACGGCTACATCTAACTTCAGAAGAGGATAAGTGTAACCCTATCATGTGCCCAGAAGATGGGGAGTGTCTGTAAAGAGCAGTGTGGCCACCATGGACCCGTTGGTGTCCTCAGGAGGCAGGGCCATGAGGCAAGGTGTCCAGGGACTTCCCTTCACTCCTTGATTAGAGAGAATCAACACCCCGCCCCGGCCCAGCACCAAGCCCTTGAACCCTCTGGAGGAATCAGGTTGAGGTCAACAGAGTGGAACTGTAAAAGGTTCAGGGCAGATGCTTCAGAAAAGTCACCAAGGGCTTGTCTGGGCATGAAAAATGCCCACGAAGGGCTTTATTTATCGTAATCTACTTCCTGAATTTCCATGGCCTTTGGGGCGAGTCTTCCTAGGCCCATAAACTTGGAACATCAGAGCTGGGTGGGTCCCCTAGAACCTGGCAGCTCAAGTGTGGTCCCGGGATCAGCAGCAACACTACCTTCCCCTGGGAGCTTGTGACAGAATCTCAGGCCCCACCCCAAACTACTGAATTATAATCTGCATTTGAACAAGATCCTCAGGAGATTCGCGTGCACCTTAAAGCCTGGAGGCACTTCACTAGAATTAATTCAGGCCAACATCTTCATTTCACAGAGAGGCTGACACCCAGAGGGGAGGAGGGAGGCTCAAAGTGACACAGCTGGTTCCAATCTTGGCTCCAGCGCTTGCCAGTGATTTTGTGCAAGTCGCTTAAAAATTCACTGAATCTCAGTTTCCTCTTCTATGATAAAGGGATTATATAACTACTTCATAGTGCTGACGTAGGAATCAACTAAGACAACATTAAGACCACTGCCAGCACATAGTACGTGGTCGGTACATGTGAGCTATTGCTATGGTCCTAACTCTGTTCTAACACCACATCTCGTACCTCCTGGCACATGCAGTTTCTTCTAAAAGAAGGAGGAGCAGGGGATGGGACCCAGCTGCTTGTGTCTATATCCTGCTCTGCCATTTGACCTTGAGCCCAGTTCCTCAATTGTTCTTTGGTTCCTGGCTTCAGTTAGATCATTCATAAGTGATATAATGATGGCACCTACTTCATAGGCTTATTGTGAGGATTAAATGAATTAATACATTTAAGGTCTCCAAATAGGCTATGGCACATAGTAAATGAGCGAGATGAATGAATGATACCTCTAAAGTGTCCAAAAGAGGCGGTCTAGATTGGATGGAGCCAGGCCCCGGGTAGGGTAAGGGTCTTTCTCAGAGGGAGTTGCTTCGGCTTTGGCCCCCAGATCTACGGCAAGTCCCCAGTCTGCTTCTCTGGCCCCTGGACAGCCCCCAACCCCTGGCTGGGTTTTTCTTTCTTTTTAAATTTTTTTAAATGTTTATTTATTTTTGAGAGAGAGAGAGACAGACAGAATGGGAGCAGGGGAAGGGCAGAGAGAGGGAGAGACACAGAATCTGAAGCAGGCTCCAGGCTCTGAGCTGTCAGCACAGAGCCCGATGTGGGGCTTGAACTCACAAACAGTGAGATCATGACCTGAGCCAAAGTTGGTCGCCTAACCAACTGAGCCACCCAGGTGCCTCCAGGTTTTCCTTTCTCAACTGCTGAGATAGCCTCACTGGGGCTCCCTTGTACCTCGATCAGGAACCTCAGAAAGGCCAGAGCATTTTTGTCCTGGAGATGCACAGACTCAGGCAGGTGGGGCCACTGTTTTGAAATCTCTGAAGCACGGTCACACCGGAGAGGAGTTAGATCTGCTCTAGATGACTCTGGGGGACAGAAATAGGCAGCTTTGGGAAGTCCTCTCCAATCATGACAACTATTCAGAGGCAGCTTCAGCTGTCAGGTGGGGCAGGGGCCTCACCTGAGAGGTTAACCAAATACAGATTCCAAATACAGATTCTCAGGCCCCACCCAGGCCAGCTGAATCAGAATCTCTAGGGTGGGGCTGGGAATCCATTTTAAAAGCCTCCCCCAATGATTCTCTTGTTTGTGGGGAAGGGGGGGAAGCATGGCCAGGGGGTTAGGGGAGGGGAGAGCAACCGGAGGAGTGAGAATCATCCGCTAGACGATCTGAGGGTTCTCTTTTGATCTTGACCACCTCCCTTTCTTGATCTAGTTCTGGAAGACATGGCCTCACTGGGATTCTGCCCTCTTCTAGAGGATTTCTGTGCCCTTGATTCAGGGATTACTCCCAAAACCCACCAGCAGCTCTAACCACACCCCCCCTTCCCTGCACCCTTGTCCCATGGCTCCTTCAGGTCTTTCTGCATCCTCAGGCCCTCAGGTGACCCAAACAGATTGCAAGGGCACTTCCTGGAGGCAGGCCTCAGGGGGCTGGGCTGGCCTCCCATCGAGACAGGCAGCTCTTTCCCATCACACCCTAAGAGCCCACATCAGGGCCACACCCCCAACCAGGACATTGTTCCCACCAAAATCGGTCTCCTGAAGGCGCCTGGACGCATAGCTCAGAGATCACAGATACGAGAAAAGAAATACCTGAGTAGGCACAAATATCCTTGCTCCCCCTCTGCCCTTGGGTCAATTCCACAGTTGGATATACCGCAGTGCCCCCGTAGCTTGCAAATCCTCCGACCGAGACTATTATCTGGGGTTTGGCGGCGAGCGCCCTCTCGCGGCAGAAATTAAGGTCCCCGGGGCCAAGGGGGAAGGGGTGTGGGACACGCGGAAGCGGAATGCAGGCCTATTGCCCCGACCCCACAGCGCCACCTGCTGTCTCCGGGCACAGCGCCAGCGCTGCGCCCGAGGGTAGAGGGCCCACTCCCTGCTGGTGGACTCTCCTTTTCCCAAGGCACCGTCGCCTCTGGGTGACCCTTTCCTTCTCTCGGAGCTCTCCCGCGCCACCCCTACCTACGCTGTCCAGAAGGTGCTTCGGCGCCAGCCACCTCTGCTTACAGGCCTCTGCCTTTACTCTGGTTTCACTCCCAGGAGGTGCGTCCAGCTTCCTCCCCACCACGGGCCTGCTCTGGAATACCGACTGTCCCCCAGTTTGACAGCTAGTGTAGGAGAGGCTAGCTAGGCAGATGGCTTTGTTCTGGGGTGCCAGCACCCACCCCTAGCAGCCAGCAGAGGGCAACCTATCTCCAGATTTGGGCCTTAAAAGTTCCCATCCTGGCCATTCCTATAGGCCCTTTCCAGAGCCTACCATGATCCCACTGTTTGTAGAACCATTCCATCCGTTCATCCTCCCTCCATGCACTAACCCTTCCCTGAGAACTTCCCGTTGGCTATATCCTGCTTTGGACCTAGAGAAGTTATCAAGATGAAGGAGACCTTGACCTCACCTGGGGAGCTCACAATCCCAGGCGGCATTCTCCTCCAGCCCTTTTACATGCATGTTGCACTGTTCTGCACCATTGACTGGTCTTATACATGTTTAGGTACTATTCCCAGGGTCAAGGAGATGGGTGTGTCAAGGCCACTGTTGGATCTGGTCATCTGGACATTACGCATACAAGGTCTGTTGTTGTTAAAGCCTCTGCTCCTTGGTGTTTTGTAAATTCGCAGTGTGGGCAGGGAAGCCCAGCCCCAAAACATCAGACAGGCATCCTTCAGATGAGACGCTGCAACTCCTCAGACGAGCTCATTTACAAAAAGTTAAGCCCTGTGGGGGCCTGCCATAGTCTAAATGTTTGTGTCCCCCGCAAAATTCCTATGTTGAAATGCTAACCTCCAAGGTGATGGTATTCAGAGGTAGAGCGTCTGAGGTGGTTAGGTCATGAGGGCCGAGCCTTCCTGGATGGGATTAGTGCCCTTATGAAAGAAGCCTGGGCGCTCCCTCCTCCTTTCCGCCATGTGAAGACACAGCAAAAAGATGGCCAAGAACCAGGAAGTAGGCTTTCACAGACACTGAATCTGCCAGCACCTTGATCTTGGATTTCCCAGCCTCCAGAACCGTGAGAAAGAAATTTCTGTTTTTTATAAGCCACCCAATTTATGGTATTTTCTGAACTGATTAAAACAGAAATTGGCACCGGGAAGTGGGGTGCTTCTGTAACAAATACCTAAAAGTGAAGAAGTGGCTTTGAAACTGGGTAATGGATAAAGGCCAGAGAGTTTAGAAATGTCAGCTAGGAAAACACCTACAGTGCTATGAATGGACCTTGAAAGGAGATTCTCATGAGGGATCAGAAAGAAATAAGGACAGCCGGACAAAGCCTCAGTCATGCCGGAGAATAATGACTAAGTAATTTTGAACAGAATGTTGGTTAAAAATATAAATGATAAAGGCCATTCTGATAAGAGAAATGAGGAACGTGTTTTTGGAAACTGTACAAAAGGGGATCCTCATTATAACGTGGCAAAGAACTTGACTCAATGTGTTCAGATACTAATGTCTCGTGGAAGGTAGAACTTGTGAACAATGAAATTGGTTATTTGGCTGAGGCGATCTCTAAGCAAAGCGTTGAAGGTGCAGCTTGGCTCCTTCTGACTGCTTATAGTAAAATTTAGGAAGAGAAAAACGACTTAAGGATGGAACTGTTAAGCAAAAAGGAAGCATAATTTAAGATTTGGAAAATTCTCAGCTTACCCATATTGCAAAAAAGTGAAAACATTAAGGGTGTGGCCAGGTGACTTTATGATAAGGAGATTAGTCTAAGTCAGCCATCTCAACAGAAGCTAAGTGCCACTCTTCAAGACAATGGAAGAATGACCCAGAAGGTCATTCAGTGATCATTAAGGCTATCATTTCCAACTGAGGCCCTGAGTACAAGGGCTTGGGGGTCATGGCTTCCTCCAGCTAGGTTTTAAACAATGGGGCCACCCGGAGCCATCACAGGGATAGGGTCCTGGCGAAGAGTCTGGCTGTAGGCATCACCCTGCTGGGCTGTGGGGGTGATGTTGCCACCCCAGTGGGTCCAGAAGAAAGGATTATTCTCAAGCTTTAAAGTCTAATGGAATTTGCCTCATCAGATTTGGGACTTATTTGGGACCCATCATTCCTTTCTTCTCTCCTGTTTCTCCCTTTCAGAATGAAAAGGTCTATCTGGAGCGCCTGAGTGGCTCAGTCAGTAAGAGTGTGCGACTCTTGATCTCAGGGTTGTAAGTTCAAGCCCCATATTGGGTGCAGAGATTACTTTAAAAAATAAAGCCTTTAAAAATTTAAAAAAAAAAAAAAAGGGACATGTCTATCCTGAGCATGTCCCACCATTATATTTCGGAAGCACATAACCTGTGTTTTTCACCGATTCACAGCTGGAGAGGGGATTTGCCTATGGATGAATCGTACCTGGAGTCTCCCCCATTATCTTATGTAGATGACACTGAGTGAGGCTTTGGACTTAGCCTTAGAGTTGATTCTGGAACAAGGTGAGACTTTGGGGACTGTTGGGATGGAATGCATGTGTTTTGTATGTGAAAAGGATGTGAATTGGGGGATCCAGGGGCAGAATGCTATAGACTGAATGTCTGTGTTACCCCCCCACCTCAAATTTTTATGTTGAAACCTAATCCTCAATGTGATGGTATTAGGAGGTGGGGCTTCTGAGAGGTGGTTAGGCCATAAGGGTGGAGACCTCATGAATGGAATTGGTGCCTTTATAAAAGAGGCTCCAGGGAGCTCCCTTGTCCTTTCTGCCAGGTGAAGACATGGCAGAAAGTTGGCTATGAACCAGGAAGCAGGCCCTTACCAGACAGCAAATCTGCCAGTGCCTTGATCTTGGACTTCCCAGCCTCCAGAACTATGAGAAATACAGTTGTGTGTTTATAAGCCACCCAGTCTATGCTATTTTTTTTATAGCAGCCAGAATAGACTAAGATAGGGCCCTGACCATGCAGCACACTGAGCTAGGCCCCACCACTCTGTCCTTCCTGGGCAGAAGTAAACTTTCTGGATTTGACAGGAAGGTTCCTCTGGCTAAGTCTCCCTCCCGCTCAGGGGTTTTCCAAGCTGGAAGAAGTTCTGAGCACAGTTTTGGGTCCTTGCTGAGCCCCTCAAATTCCAAAGCCCACAGAGTTTTCACACCCAGATATGGGAGTGGCGGCCAGACCGGGCAAGGCAGCAGGATTTGGTTGGTCGGGTCATTCCAGGCAGTGTCGTTCAGTTAGAACTGATACTAGAAAGTGAGCAGCCCTTGGAAAAACAGGAACAAACCCTACTTATTGCCATCTAACCTCCTAGGAATTTGACCGTTCTGTCAAAGTTCCCTCCCAGCCCTGTGGGTAGTGGTCCTCTCACAGACGAAGGATCTGGAGGCCAGAATTCTGTTCTAAGAGCTTTATTGACCAAATGAGAAGTCAGCTTGAATACAGCTCATGCCTGCAGCCCTTCCAGGTGACAGCTCCATATAGTGTTGTCCTTTCAGTCACTGGGAGCAGCGAGACCCAGCCCCTCCCCTTCCTCCTGCTGCTCCTGAGTGGGAGGGCCTGGAAGGGATGGGAGTGATGTGGCCGGGGAAGGGTCCCTGGAGAAGGGTGGGATGGAAGGGGCGAGGCCCCGAGTGGGCAGGTGGGGTCCTGAGGACTGGGCACACAGGGAAGGGGTGTCCAGATCAAGACCGAGGCTGTGTGTGCCTCCCTCCACATCTGAGGGTCAAGCAGGAGTGGTAAGAACAGAGCACTGGCCTGGTCTGTGCTGTGACGAGAGGAGCTGCCACCATAGCCTCGGGACCCAGGGGTAGGGGCAGAGCTATTTACCCTCAGGTTGGGGCCACTGATAAATGAAAGTATGTGTTGGGGGTGTTTCATTAGGGCTTCTGTCAAACAAGGAACTAGACTCCTGGGGAGGTCAGACCACATCTTGACTTTGGGGCTCTCAGACCTAAGTTGTTCTCTCATCTGGAAGGGGAGGACACCAGGTCCCCAGAGCCTCAGAGGCAAGAGGCCCAGAGAAGCAAGTGGCTCCTACAGTCCATGGCCCTTTCTCTGTGGCTTTCTGCATCCACCTAATAACTCCCGGAGCTGGGACATCCCAGGCCTATTCTAAGGGACACCAAGAAGCCCACCCTCTTACCCACAGAGGAGAATCTCCAGGATCCAATAAACCACAAGCTTCCTCTGCCCCATCATGGTCCTGCTTCCCTCCCCACTGGGCCTACTGCTCCTCTGGGATCTGAGATGTGGGCTCAGGGATCTTGGCAGGTTGATGACAAACACTCAGCCTAACAGGCCAAGAACAGAGGACTGTGGGGCGGGGTGTAGGAGGAGGGGTCGGGTCCCACCTACACTGAAACACTGAGGTCTCCTTCTGGTGACGGGTCAGATCCCAGGCAGAGGGAGCCCTTTAGAGGGGTGGGACCTCAGGTAGACTCCAAACCAAAGGGGGCCAGACACCCAAGTTCAGGTCATTAGTGATGTGTGGCAGGGCTAAGAGAGGGAGGAAGAATCCTGGAGGTCGCCGAGGCTGCTGGGAAGGATAGGCGATGAAAAGCACGGGAGTGGGCAGCTTGCGTGGGTGGCGGCAGCCTCACTCAGAGTGGACCAAAGCCCCAGCTCCTTGCCCAAAGCCGAAGCCCTTGGGTCCGAAGTTTTTAGCGTAGCATCCTGTGGAGAGTACGGTGAGTGTAAGGCCTGGCTCCTCCTCCCTCAGGCCACACCTCCCAGCCCTCCCACTGGAGCACTGTCTGCTATAAGGGCATCGGACTAGGAGTTAGGAGGCCGGGTTCTGGTCCCATCCTGCCCCGATTGGCCATATGACTCTGGCCAAGTCACTTTTGCCCTCTGGCTTGTCTCCTCCCATGTAAAGTGAAGGGTCATACTAGAAGCTCTGCAATCGACCCCGAGGCCAGGAATTGGTTTACATTTAGCAAGGGCATAACTACTTAGC